GCTTTGGCTGCAGGACAGACTTGGGGACGTACAGTTAAACAAGGCAGCTGAGTTAGCTGAGGAGTATTATACTCGCCGAAAGTTGCATAGCAGGGCAGTGCGCGTTGAAAAGGGTGAAAGGAAAGAGGGCTTTTCAAAGAAACCTGATCAACGGAGACCCGATCCGCACCGTAATTTCAAGAAGGAGCCGTCTCTTACGAAGGACAGTGTAGGGGAAGGGCCAACAGAAGCGGAGAAATCGAGTGAGGTTTCTACCACACAGGCATGTGAATCGGAAAACAAACGGAAGCCGCTAATCTGCTACAACTGCAGAAAGGAAGGACACATCGCGAGAAACTGTCAGGAAAAGTTTGCCTTCGCAACAATCCGAGAATCAGAAAAAAACATGCGGTTGTTGGAGCCGTATCTCCAAGAAATTAGGGTGAATGAGAAAACGTGCCGAGCACTTAGAGACTCAGCGGCAACCATGGACGTTGTCCATCCTTCATTGGTGTCTCCGGATGACTTCACAGGAGAATGCGCGTGGATCAGGCAGGTCGCCGAGGAGCAGAGTGTTCGCTTACCAATCGCCACGGTTGTCATTAAAGGCCCGTTCGGTAAGCTTCGCACCGAAGCGGCTGTGTCTGCCGCGCTGAACGACCGTTTTCCTTATCTATTCTCCAACAACTCAGAGCAGCTTCTCAAAGAGCAGGGCAAATCGTTCTTCCCCAACTTAGCGTGCATGGCTCTCACGCGATCGCAAGCGCGAAAGCTTTCGCCGGAGCTTGATCTGGTTCAATGCGGTGAACGCTCAAGTGACCTTGTCGGCGGGTCGACGGAACCTCAGAGAGGAAATTTTCCGCGTGAGTCATGTGAGCAGTCACGCGAGCGGCCCGTCGCGGAAGCGGCCGGCGCGGTATGCGTTGGGGGAGACGACATGGCGCCATTGAATCAGAGCGAGAGGGCTGCAACGCTCTCGCCTGTAGCGGAAAGTTGGAGCGAGCTGCCGAGAGTTGATCGAGAGACGCTCATTCGAGAGCAGCGTGAGGATCTCTCGATTGAAGCGCTAGTGGAAAGCCAAATTGAAGCGCTAGTGGAAAGCCAAATTGAAGCGCTAGTGGAAAGCCAAATTGAAGCGCTAGTGGAAAGCCAAATTGAAGCGCTAGTGGAAAGCCAAATTGAAGCGCTAGTGGAAAGCCAGAAAAACGCGGCACAAGTGCTGTCGAAGGAGCACTACGAGGAATCGGTGAAGAAGCGTGCTTTGAAGTAGGGAGTCAGGTAATGCTGCTGCAGCCGTTCAAAAAGAACAAGCTTGAGGTTGATTGGGAAGGGCCCGCCACAGTATTATCGAAGCCTGGCGATACAAATTATGAAGTGAAATTAGGAAGGCGGCCGGACAAAATTTACAACTTGATGAAACCATACGTTCAACATCAAGCGGTCGTAAATCTGTTGTTGAATGCTTCAAAGGAAGAGGAAGCAGAAAGTTTGAGTTCTAGTGAGGTAATTGAAGGGGGATCGAAAGTAATCCGGGAGCAGATAAACCTAGAGCCTAGCTTAAGTGAAGGAGGACCTGAGAAAGAGAACCTGAGAAAGATTGGTTCCGAGTTTGAAGACGTGTTTTCGGACCGCCCCGGAAACATGAGGGTGATCGAACACGATATCGAGCTAAGCGGTGAGGAGTCAATCCGTAGCAAGCCGTATCGTTGTTCCCCTGTGCAACGTCGAAAGTGTGAGCCGCTCTTGGTGCCGCATAGGTATCGTCGCCTAAAAGTGGCCGGTTACTGAAGTGGAGCATGTTGCTCCACAGCGCAACTTTGACGTTCGCTAAAGAAAAAAAAAAGAAAGGTAAACGCTAATGCAGGTGCATTGAGCAGTGCGTTCCAGCTAGTAACTTCTCAACCTTTCGGTTTCTCGCTGGCGATTCGGGGCAAAATTTTGACCTCATCACGACCTGGGCTGAGCGCTCTCGTTCAGAGTGATATCAAGGGGCCAACTTTGTGGTATTCTAATTCGTTACGTTGTTGTACGTGGGAAAAAAAATTGAGTTGTCATTTTTAAGAGTCTTGTGTCCCACATGTGCCTCTTGATGTAGAGGGAACAAAATTCCGATAGACACGTAGATAGGTATATGTTGTACTATACTTTGTCTGGTGTTCTGTCGGGTGACCGAAGGCACTTGTGTGTGTCGTGTGTTGTCTGTTGTCGATCCGTTCTTGGCAAGTTGCAGAGCCATCGACAAGTGCTGAAACCGAAGATGGTCAGAAGAGACGAGTGAAGCTGGTCGACAAGTTGTGGCGACAAGCCAGTGGAGCTGGGATCCGTCGTCAAAAATGGGATGTGTTTCCGGAACAGTTTGGAGCTGTATTCTCCCCATGGCCCTGGAGGCGAACCTGGAGGGACCTGGCGAACGAGCGCACCTGACATCCGAGCCCCGTGGAAGCAGCTCGTCTTTCCGGTGCATTGTCTGGCGGCGGGGGTGCTGTTATGCCAGCGAGTCCTCGTCAAACGTCCGTGCCTCTGAAAAAGGCAATCTGGGTCAAGGCCAGCCCGCAGTCCGCCCGGACGCGAACATCTCAACGGCGTGAACACGCGCGGCACCCCTCTGGCCCACGTGCATTGAGTCAGCTGCGCACGTGACAGCGAGCCGGCTTCCGCGTTACTGGTGGTCTGACGCATGGCGCGGCGACCCCATTGGAGGAATTTGCCCGGACGACCAGCGGCGCTTCTGATTGGACATTTTGGTTGGACCCGGTGTAAATAAAAGAAGCCCTGCGGCGCGTCGCGATCGGCGGTCCTGAGAGAGGAGTCCCCATGTCGGAGAGCCGACATGTGTATGAGTCAGCGGTCTTAGGCGAAAGGCTGACCTATGTGTTAGAGAGGAGAGCTCGGCTCTTCGAGTCTCTGTCGGCCCCAGTGCCGAAATTGTAACGCCTCTGTATATATGCTGTACATAAACCTTATTTAACTCACCGTCGTCTCGTCCGCTCGTCTTATCAGCTCTGCGCAGAAGCAGTCGCGAGCTGAGAAACATACGCTACCAAACGGCTGGTGACCTTCCCGGCGGAGTTGAAAGCAGTGGCGCCTTGGGACCGAGTTGGCATCGCCGTCTTTCGCAACAGAGGTGGCTTCGGCGGGATCGGTCCGCCTTCGCAACAGTGGTGGCTTCGGCGGGATCGGTCCGCCTTCGCAACAACATTAACTAAAAGCCGATTTATCCTGTCTGTCATTCTCTCTTAGCAGCCATTGGCATGTACATTGAGCACTATCTTTTATTGTTCAACAACGCACAAAAGAAATCTCTCACTGGCACCACTTTGGAGGTCAGAATGTTATACTTGTTACAAGCCATCACCTTAATAAAAAAAAAAGGCATTTGTTACACACTACTACAACAGCTACGAGGAACGAACGGGTACCGCTATAAAGAGCTTCGCCCCTAAAATTCGGGAGTGGTTGTCGCGGAGTTTCTCCGAACACGCATTTTTTTGTTTGTGTAAATTTCGTGGACAGCTATCTCCCCCTAATGACTTCGTAGACCACCATTTGAAAAACGCTGTTCCACGTGCTGAGCTACCAAGATGCGTTTTTTACGTAAGATGCCCACATGGAGATCGTGGGAAAAGGCCTGCTGCAGTAGTAGGCACTACCACAGTGCCTGTTTCTGCCTATGCTAACAAAATAACAGTACATTACGGTACAAGTTCTTCCTTTCTTTCTTCCTTCCTTTCTTTCTTTCTTTCTTTCTTTTTTTCTTTCTTTCTTTCTTTCTTTCTTTCTTTCTTTCTAAGCCCACTATTATAGACGATGTAACAAGGTAGCCAAAAACATTGATTTTGTCTCATAAATTAATCTATAAGCCGTATTTACAGGAGGGTAGAGAAGAGAGGACACAGCACGCTGTCCTCACGTGTCGGTGGCGCTGATATGTGCACTCATGTTAGAGGGCTTCGATGCGCTTGTTCGCACTCATTTGTACCAGCGCACCCAATCCTGCAGTGGATTTCTGACATGAATTCTACTGAGTACAGTTCAGCACATCCGCGTAGTTGTATATGTAGCGCACAAAATACTGACAATGTCACTGTCAACATTAAAAAGAAAAGTGAACGTTTTGGCAGCCATGGATCTCAAATGTTTGTTTCTACCGGTCTCCCACGTTTTTTATGTAATCACGATGCTCCGGTTTGTTAAAAAAATGAATACTGTTTGTTATACCTAAATCATTTCGTAAAACTACGATATAATGGTTTTGATGCTTCATTCGGCCAGGCAAACTATTTAGTCATTTATTTATTTATTTATTTATTTATTTATTTATTTATTTATTTATTTATTTACCTACCCTACTTATTATGAAGACAAATGCAGTGGACCAGCCAGGGAAGTGTAGTCGCTTTGAATTGCATCCCAAGTCTTCTTTATTTTTACCGTTCTGTAGGCATATTATTCACGTACCCACAAAAACACGCGCTAGAACATACATAAAAGCCGGGTCTGACAACACAACCGTACCAGAAATAAATTTCCAGCTACGCTTCTGCCCAGGAGTACCTTTATCCGAATGATCTGTTATCAACTGCTTCCTCCAGGTTTGTTAATATTCAGTTTTCTTTTGGAAGCAGGTTATTGATTGATCGAGTTAATTGATTAATTCGAGAACTCAGCCTTGCCCGTACACCACTAGAGAAGCATAACAATTATTCTGTCAGCCTTACTTTAACCCTCACGCCACGCTGGATCCTAACACCGGTAGAAATTGTGTTCTGTACTCGTAATTTTGTAATCTAACGCGTCTGCTCTTTTACAGTTTCTAGCATACGAGGTGGAGTAGTTATTGCCTCTGAGATGCGTTCTCAATTTAGTGCTCTTCAATCTCTAAGGCTAAGCAAAAGCAATATATTTTTACCACATCGACGACAGATGGCGCTAGCATCCTTTTTGCCCGCGCAGGTTGCTGTTTGCGCGCCCGTTTGCAAACAGGTGCGAGCGTCTGCTGCTCTTGCAGAGTGCCGGCAGAATGTGCATCATCGCGTATCAGCAGTGAGAGGTGGTCGTGCGTGTGTGTGTGTGTGTGCTTGTTCGTCCATTACGATCATCGCTGTCAGCACCTCACCCTCTCTCGCCGAGCTCCGGGAAGAAGAGGAGCCGGTTAGTGGTGCACCGGTTATTGCGCTGGGCTGCTGCGAAAGGCGTGCAAGGGAACGGTGTTGACATCACGCCGGTGACCGGCAGCGGGAGTCTTTGAAAAAAACCTCCCGCGAAGAGTTGCGCGCGTTGCCTCGTTCCGGAGTCCTCACGAAGCAGATATCGCAGCGGCACCGGATATTTCGACGGTATTGGTGAGTGATCTATACGATACGGCCGCACAGCCCGCGATGCCATCATCCCTTGAAGCGCCGGCTGAATCTCGGAGCGCACCCGTTATGAAAGTCCAGTTTAACATCTCAGACGTCTGTCTTAACACCTTGAATACCCGTTACATTAAACTTCGAGGTGCAGTCATCAGGCTTCACTACAGGTGTGACTTTAGAACATCTTAAAGCGAAGTTATGGACGGATCTACGAACAGGTGGTACGGATGAGATCATCTTAGCCGTGAAAACAGCGCCATCGGTGTGGCGGCAGCTGGCGAACAAGTCGATGCTGACAAAAGTAACGTTTTGTGATACTCTGCCCTGACAATGTGCTACAGTGTCTTCGGGTATAAAATATGTCACAGCTGAAACGGCGGGCGTCAATAGTTAAACATGGGAAAAGTAGCTGTTAACTGTGCATCTTATGCTAACTGCCGCTGTGGTTATTGAAGTGACCCATCATTTTTCCGCCCGTTTTAAAGTAGCATGATTAGCTGTAATATATTATACACGACTACCACCGAAGACTGGCATTGTCGTGTATTGAATCCCGCGTGATGTTGTCTTTGTTGGGACTCTATAGAGTCCCAACAAATTGGGACTCTATATTTCCCTATTGAAACGATCCGATTGTTTAAGTGTATGTTCCTGAACCGTCTCCTTGCTTCAGTAACTTAAGTTAGTCATTTACAGCTCATGGCCACTTCTGAGTCCTACTGTTTGGTGGGCTGTCGGTATTTGGCAGCGCTCTACCTCTTGTTGGGCATCGTCCTATATACGTGTCTATTGCTCCTTTAGGTGAGATCATTTGTATGTATGTTGTGTGCAGAAGTTGAGCGAAGAAATCGATGTTGAACACCGTATACGGTTAAATACGTGTGATCAGCGACCGTTGATGACTCACACTCATGCATCTCCCCCTCCTCGCTCCACAACTGAGGCGGCACTACAACTGACATTTCCGCTCCTCCTTTCATACTGTCGTGCGCTGGACATCATCGAGAAATGCCTGGACGATGGCACTCTACATATTGTTAAGGTGAAATATGGACATGAACTATATGATGTGGTGCTCTCCGAAGAAATAAAACCGCGGTGCCGTAAAAGAGAAGGAGGAATATGGTCTTCTGACGTTCTTCCCCAGTCGTTGTCGACGAGTGAGATAGTGGAGCTGAAGACGATTATGATGTATTGTTTCGATGGTGCGACGCATGCTTGTTCTGATTTAGCGCGAAAACTACCTTTTTGCAAGGAGAAGGGAGGGGGGAGTGTTGACGTTCTACACTTCCGTCGCTGGTTCCGCAATCGATCGTTCTGTACGAGCCTTGTTTGCAGAAATTGCCGTGCATGCTTTGACGGCGCATCGTTTATTTTCATGCTTGTTCGGTGCTCCTGGTACTCGGGTGAATATACCTTGAAATCTGTGCAGCGCTGTTACGTAAATGGTGTAATACCTGTTTACCTTTGCTGCTCGGCGTTTTTGCTGCTCTACATACACTATTATAGTTTACACAAGCTTCTCGCCGAGATACACGCCAGCTGTTTATGGTCGGCTCTGACGGCGAGTTCCCAGTGCTGCCGTTGTATCCGCATTGCGTTTGGCAGCCAGGCTGTCCGAAGCGCGGAACAGATGGTGTTAATGGCCGAGCCGTCTAAGAAGTCGCGTCTGTCTATGCGCGAGCGTGGCATAACTCAGCGCCGTCACGCCCAACAATGAGCGGGTACTGTCCGCAGCCCAGCGCACGTTGGAGACGTCAACGCCCGCCGCATATACGAGCAGCTCGTTGTGGTTACAGCAGCTGCGATGCTCTTGTGAATGGCGGTCTTGTGTCTCGAGAGCGAAGACATCGATCACCGCCGGTAGAGCCTCAATGAACGTTCGGGGTCGGTCTGTTAAGTCATGAAAATGGGTGTGGTAAAACTAGCTTATATATCCTCTGTGTAAATTTTACTTAAGTGATTCGATATAGTTTCCTTTGGCGTCGACACACCGAGTGCGATACACCTTTGGCGTTCATACATCGAGCACCATGCCAAGAGTGCCTGGAAGCCGGCTGCCGTGACCTCTCTGGCGCACTATATTTCAGCCCTTTGCATGGATGGCGGGAAAAAACCTGGTGATCTTTACGTCCTTTCTTGAGGTTTGGGAACATGGAGAAGCCTGTCGGGCTCAATAAGAGTTGATACGGTCCTTATACAGCCCTGATGGGAACACCGTATTCATGTTTTCAAAGCTCAAGAGGAACCAGAAAGGTCACCCTTTCGACGGTCTTCCCGCCATTCAAACGGCTGTCATAGAAAAGTCTGGCAGCTAACTGTCAGGGAGCCTTTGCGACGGGGTACTTGCATTGTATCTAGATCTAGAGGGAAGTTATTATGAAGAATTCATAAATATTATGTACCAAGAGGATATACAAGTTCCTTTTACCGAACCAGGTCTTGTTACTTTATGGACAAACCCTGTATCAATGACGAACAGTCGATCGGCATTGAAGTCTCGCATAAACGTGCTGGCCAAAAACAAAATAAGCGTCGCCTAGAGGCAAGTGAGTCACGCCCCGCTGCCTAGATAAAGGGTTCGCGTCATCTTCCTGCGAACGCGGGCAGCGCGCACGAATTGTTATCTTTACGTTTCACGCCTCCGGCCTCGCTGTGTCGGTCATTTCGAGTCCAGTGTGTCGCGTCCTAAGGTCCTGCTGCCCGTACGTCGTCTTCTTATCGGACGGTGTTTGCCAAGTCGCGATGGCCGGACGCCAGAGAGATATGCGCGTTCGTAGAAGCCGCGCCTACTATACGGCTCTTTCGAGCACGGCGCCTCTTGCCCGCCATAGTAAGCGGCCAAGTCGTCAGTGCGGATTCTCGTAGGTCACGTACGATTTTCACACGGCCACTTTCGATCGCAATTGAACTTCTAGATCGTGTCGTTTTTTCCAACCGCGATTGAAACCTTTTCCACATATTGGACCAATAATTCAGCTCATCGCGATTAAAGTCCCTCTCGTGACAATCGCCATTATACCGGCGTGACACGGCCACTTTTGGTCGTGATCATGGCCAACTGGGATCGGATATTTTGGTCGCAATCAACAATGGTCGCTGCTACGCACATTGCACGCTCCGAACTGATTCGAATCGGCATTGGTGCTTATCCGATGGAAAGTGCCTGCGTGACACCGCATTAGACTGCGTTCTGCCTTGGTCGCAGGCTAGTAAGGAGAAAAAAAAATGATGATTGATATGTGGGGTTTAACGTCCCAAAACCACCATTTGATTATGAGAGACGCCGTAGTGGAGGGCTCTGGAAATTTTGACCACCTGGGGTTCTTTAACGTGCACCCAAATCTGAGTACACGGGCCTACAACATTTCCGCCTCCATCGGAAATGCAGCCGCCGCAGTCGGGATTCGAACCCGCGACCTGCGGGTCAGCAGCCGAGTACTTAGCCACTATAGACCATCGTGGCGGGAAAAAAATGGTACCGTTGAAATTTCAGCGCGCGCAATGTGGACCTCCTTGTATCACAGCTGATGCGGAGCGCCCTTTGACGACAACATTAATTGATGATGCGAACGCAGGTGACTAACATAGTCTTAAGTTTTCTACGTGAGACAGGGTAAAGCGATGTACATATATGGTGGGTCGAACCAACGTTTCTAAAAAACGTTGGGTAGAACTACATGAGCAGCTCAGGCGGAGCAATTGCTGACCAGGTCTGGCAGGCTAAACCCGCCTGTGGCCACACTACCGCCATGACCACCACCACCACCACACCACTACACCATTGATAATTAGCTGGCCTATAGCGTTTATCATACTATCAATCAGGTAATAGAGAAATGCTCAGAATATAGCCAACCACTATACATAGCCTTCATAGATTACGAGAAGGCGTTTGATTCAGTAGAAATATCAGCAGTCATGCAGACACTGCGGAATCAGGGCGTCGATGAAGTATAAACACCCTGGAAGAAATATACAGGGGATCAAAACTGCTACCATATTGCTTCATAAAGAAAGCAACAAAATACCAATCAAGAAGGGTGTTAGGCAGGGGGATACAATCTCCCCTATGCTATTTACCGCTTGCTTACAGGTGGTTTTCAGAGGCCTAGAATGGGAACAGTTAGGTATAATAGTTAATGGAGAGTACCTTAGTAACCTGCGCTTCGCCGATGACATTGCATTGCTGAGTAACTCAGGGGACGAATTGCAACTCATAATTACGGAGTTAGACAAGGAGAGCAGAAAGGTGGGTCTTAAAATTATTCTGCAGAAAACGAAAGTAATGAACAACAACCTCTGAAGAGAGCAGCGCTTCGAGATAGGTAATAGTCCACTTCAAGTTGTAAAAGACTATGTCTACTTAGGGCAGGTAATAACCGCAGAGCCTAACCACGAGATTGAAGTAGCTAGAAGAATAAGAATGGGGTGGAGCACATTTGGCAAGGACTCTCAAATAATGACAAGTAGATTGCCACTATCCCTCAACAGGAAGGTATATAACAGCTGCATCTTGCCGGTACTTAGCTACGGAGCAGAAACCTGGAGACTTACAAAGAGGGTTCAGCTTAAATTGAGGACGACGCAGCGAGCAATGGAAAGAAAAATGGTAGGTGTAACCTTAAGAGACAAGAAGAAAGCAGAGTGGATTAGGGAACAAACGGGGGTTAAGGATATCATAGCTGAAATCAAGAAGAAGAAATGGATTGATTGATTGATTTGTGGGGTTTAACGTCCCAAAACCACCATTTGATTATGAGAGACGCCGTAGTGGAGGGCTCCGGAAATTTTGACCACCTGGGGTTCTTTAACGTGCACCCAAATCTGAGTACACGGGCCTCCAACATTTCCGCCTCCATCGGAAATGCAGCCGCCGCAGCCGGGAATCGAACCCGCGACCTGCGGGTCAGCAGCCGAGTACCTTAGCCACTAGACCACCGCGGCGGGTCAAGAAGAAATGGACATGGGCCGGGCATGTAGCGCGT